AATTTAATTACAAAAATTAAAAAAATTTCCCTATATGATTTTCCGTTAAATGTCTCCCTTTCTAAATTAGGGCAGATACCATGCCTTGTTTGTCCATCACTGTATTCTCAGCAAGTAGTAGTATATCTGAAACAGAGCCGACCTTTAGTAAACATTCGTTGAGTGATGAATTGGAAAGACCCAACAGAGTACAAGAGTTGCAAACATGAGATAAGGAAGTAATCGATGAAACAAGGTACTAAAGAGGCCACAGGGGATAAAGTATATGTGCATTAAAAAATAAAACGATAGGGGCTAAATCAATGATGGCCATAGAAAGTCAAAGGTTTGTTAGAATGTATGTCCTGAGAGACATCATATTAAATGAAGGTGGCTAGGGATAGTTTCAAAGAAGTAATTGGGCCAGAAGGGATGGTTAGATTTTATTAACTATAATTTAAAAAATATTTATAAAAATAGAATGAATCAGATGACTTGTGTCATAGGTTAGGTTCTCTAGGAAGTAGATGTTGAGGTGGAGTTAGAAGTACAAAAGGTTTACTGGAGGATAGCATTTGTGAAAGAGAAAGGGAGAAAGTAGGATTAGGCAGGGGGAGCCATCAGACTGCCATGCAAGCCTGAAAAAGCCTCTGTCATCCTAATGTTAACATTAGGTCCTCATACTATGCCTTACTCAGTCTTTAGTTGAGGATGGGCATGGGAGAGAGGGGTAGCCCTGAAAATAGTGTAACTTCAGCTTAGAAGCTGAGGTGAACCCAGAAGAAGTTAATGACTGAAGGCTGTCAGCTAACTACATGCCTTCGGCAGTGAGTCCTTTCTCGAAGGTAGATCTGAGCAAAGTACCTGTGACTGTGACACAGGATGCCAATTCAATCCAAATTAATCTATAAATTCAATAAAGGATCCTTTTTTTTTTTTTTTTTTTTGCTAAGCTCAACAATCTTGTTCTAGGAAGTATTTAGTAGACCAAGGGTTCACAGTTAGCTAAGTCAAATTTGAAAGACAAGAGCAAAGGGGAGGGATTTTTCACTATTACATATTAAGACAGTCTATAAGACAATGGTAAATAAAAACAACATGGTACTGGCGTCATCATGGACAAAGAGACCAACTGAAAAAGAGGTCAGAACCAGAGCCATACATAAATGGAAATATGAACATATGATAAAGGTGGCATTGAAAATCCATGGGGAAGGGAGAGACTGTTCAGTAGAATTATAGAGAAGAATTGGCTTGCTGTTTGGAGAAAAAATAGGCTAGATCCCCACCTTACACCAAATAAAGGCATGTGTTCCAGAGAGAATAAAGACCTAAACCTGATTCCCGGGACAGAGTACTGACTATACAATAGAAGAAAAATTATAGAATATGTTTGTGATGTTGAAATACAGGCTAAGTGTTTAATCAAGACCCCCAAAGCACCACTAAGAGTAATAAGACTGTCTCCACCAGCTAGGTGAGAGAACTGGAAGAACCTAAGGAGGAGTTACGTATACTCTAGAGAATATTCCTAGGATCAGGGCAGCTAAGTAAACTATAAGGAGATGTAGGCCTACTGGGAGGTATATCATTATGACTTGCCTATCGAAAATATTTCCCCTGCCTCTACTTCCTTCTTATATCCTTCAACAAACATTTCTGAGTTCCACACACTGTGCTACGTGCAGAAAGAACAAACAGGAATCAACTTGAGTCCTAGTCCTTAAAGAGCTCATAATCTAGTTAGACAGACAGATGAAAAACTAAATAAGACGTTTTAACTCCTATTCTACAGGTAAGAACCAAGAGGCAACAACCTTTGCCTAGGGCATCTGGTATTTGAGCTATAAGGAAAGTCATTCCAGGCAAAAGGAACAGCGCTAACAAAGTCACAGGGCTTTGAAGGAACATGGTATGTTGGAAAATGTTAAGGAGGTAACCTAATAATGGACATTCTGAAATGTTTGTTACTGAATACATAAAGTAGTCTATGGGGGTTGTTTTAGTCTTTTCTTAGTTGCACTGCTTATCACATTAGCTAATTATCACCTCTGAAGACAAAGCCAAAGAAGATGAAGCACTGAAGCGATGAGGGATAAATGATAATAGTTAAGAAAGAGAATCATGCTAGGAAGCACTGATGACTAGTCGTGGAGTGATAACAAGCACTGTAACTAAGGATTTAGAGGTGAAAGAGATTGCTATCAGCTACATTGTTCAGGGAAGATTTCCTGGAAGTGGCAGGGCTTCATTTGATCATTCAAAAAATTGAGAAATGACTGTATATATCAGGGGCTGTGCATGGAACAGGAGATTCAAAACCATAGTCTACTAATGAACAGATAATCAAATAATTGCAAAAATAAAGCAATGAGTGTTACAATAGATGCAAGCACAGGCTGATGTGATAAAACCTCAGAGGGACTCCTGCTTTGGAGCAGGGAAGTCAAGGATGGTTTTCTAAAGGTGATGCTGTATGCACTGAATTTAATGGACGGGTAGGATTCAAGTGCAAGGGAGGGAAACACATTTTGCAATGGATCAGTTTAGTGAGAGAACACACCTCTTTCAAGGAGCATGAAATAGTTCAGGGTGGCTGAAGCGAAGGCTGAAAGGCAGTGAAAAAAGTTTCTAAGGCATATAGGAAGAGTTTGATTTTAAAAGGTCCTTTATAGATGTTAAAGAATGTAGATTTTTTATCCTGAAGACAACGTGGAAGTTGATGAAGATTTTAAGCAGGGAACTAACATGATTAGATCCAAATTTTACAATAACTGCTATTAAAGGCAATGATGATGAAGGCAACTGAAGATGAACTGATAAGGGGGCAGCTAAGAGGCAGAGAAATTAAAAGCCTGTTACTATTGTTTAGGAAAAATAAGGAAGGATTCAAAAATACAGTAGCAGTGGTACTGAGAGAGAAGGATGGGCAAGGTGTGAATAGCCAGAGAAAGAAGTAAGTGGAAGCATTCCCTGTGGAAATGATGTGAATAAATGTTTGGAGGAGGGAAAGGTGAGCAAATCTGTTTCCATGGATTATATAGCATTTAACAGAAGAATGATGATTAGTTGGAGTGCAGAGCCAGAGTTACCCAACAGTTGGTGATGAGGTTGGAAACTGGTGGAGTCAGTCCACGGCAAGGCTATTAAACAGGCAGGCTAAACAGTTAGGATTTTACATTTTCCCTAGCAATATTAAATTTATAAATCATTTTTTTATTGTGGCAAAATATACAAAAATTTATCATTTTAATCTTTTTTTTTTTTTTTTTTTTTTGCGGTACATGGCCTCTCACTGTTGCGGCCTCTCCCGTTGCAGAGCAGAGGCTCCAGATGCGCAGGCCCAGCGGCCATGGCTCATGGGCCCAGCCGCTCCGTGGCATGTGGGATCTTCCCGGACTGGGGCACAAACCCGTGTCCCCTGCATCGGCAGGCGGACTCTCAACCACTGAGCCACCAGGGAAGCCCCCACTTTAACCATTTTTAAGTGTACAGTTCACAACACTCACATTATTGTGCAACCATCAACACCGCCTATCTCTAGAACTTTCTCACCATCCCAAACTGAAATTCTTTACTCATTAAAAAATAGCTCCCCATTCTCCCCTACCCCTCTTGCCCCTGGCAACTAAGTGATAACAAGTTGATAAAAATTCTATTTTTCTGTCTCTAGGGGTTTGGCCACTCTAGGTACCTCACGTAAGTGGAAACACTAATAGTTGCCCTTTTGCATCCAGCTTATTTCACTTAGCTAAATCACTTGTTAATCAACACTCTGGTTAATCAGTAGCAGTCTTCTAATTTGCATACTACTTTATATGCTATATTTTAAAACAAATGTCAAGCTTTTCCGACTTTATCAAATCTTTTCCACTTAGTGCTTAAGGACACTTCACTCTAGCAAATTATAAACTCAGAGTTCTTAACAATTTAGTCTACCACTGTGTCTGCTATAAAAAGCTTTTTATTGTTCTACTTTAAATGTCTATATTGTGAATTATTTTCATTACAGTTAACAGGCACTAGACTTTTTGTAAAATTCCACCTAGTACCTTAATGGAAGTAAATAATAGCAAATAGAACAACTGAGGCAGGAATCAAACTTATTTGACCACCCAGGAAGTTGCTTTATTTAGGATGCTGATATGAAGGCTCTCTTTTGATATTATGTAATTTCCCTATCTGGGGCTGAATCGGCTCTAAACGGAGGGAATTAAAAACACTAACACTAAAAAAAAACAAAAAACCCCCCAAAAACCACAAACACTTATCTTATTTCTGGCTGGGGAAAAGTCCGAAAGTTTCAGATGTTTGGAAACTATTTCAGAACTGTCAAGGGTTGAAGGAATCCCTAGGTCATTAGTGCTCTGCCCATGCATGAAGTCGAGTAATTCTGGACAAGACTTAACTAAGCCTCTGGCGGTCTCAGCGCGTTATATTAGACCAGCCCGTTCTTCCCAATCTTGTCCACAGCACAGCACATGCAGAATATAGTACTGCAGGACCCTGAGGTAAACGGAGGAGGCAGCACAGCGCAGCACACCTGTAATCCCCAGGTCGCCTGCATCCCGCCACATCCAAGTGGACGCTCTCAGAGGAGCGCTCCCGTCGGTCGTTCCAGCCGATGCGCCACGCCGTCAGTTACAGAGGACGGGCTGGGGTTCCCGCTGATTCTGAAATCAGCGGCCTTTCCCTCCTTGCAAAAAAAAATAAAGTCTTTATTCCTTAAGAGAATCAAGGCGTGAAAAAGAAAAGTGCCCACAAACCACGCAAAGACGCAAAACTCGCCAAACTTGCCTAGCGCGCTCTCCGCTGATCTTACGTCTCTTCCCAGCAGGCTCCGGGAGTCACCGCGACACTTCAACAATTCTCGCGAGATTTATCGGCAGCCATCTTCTTGGGGGTGCTGGGAGCCGGGAAGACCCCCCGAACCGTTCCCATTCAGCTGCCCTTCGTCTTCGCTTTCTTCACTTTTGCCTCTTCTGCGTTGCCAGCCAGCACCTGGTCTCAAAGCTGAGAGAAAGCCCGGTTCTAGGAGCGTGTCGCGCTCTGGTCCAGGAAGATTCGCTGGGGTGGAGAGAAGGGGGAGGGCCCGGGCAAACAGTCGCTGCCTCAGCCGGGGCCGGGGTCCGGGGAGGGGGAGTTCCTGGCACCCCGTGGACTCGCGGCTTGCGGCCGTCCCCCCGGAGCTGTTGGCCCATCGGGGCTCGCGGGAGCCTGCCACCGGCACCTCCCACCGCGGCCCACGCGGGCGGCGCGCGGAGGAGGGGGCGGGGGCAGCGGCGGCTGTAGCGGCCGCGACCTGGGCGGGCGGACTAGTGTGACGGGCCTCTGGGCCGCTGTGGATGGTTTCTAAAATGATCATTGAAAACTTCGAGGCCCTCAAGTCCTGGCTCAGCAAGACTCTCGAGCCCATGTGAGTATCCGGGGGCTATTTCCTTGCAGGGGTGGAAGTGGGAGATAGGTGGCCTCACCGTTGCCTCAAGTGCCTTCCGTGGAGGCCGAAGCGGTGAACGCAGGTCCCAGGGCTCTGTGTTTTCTCCTCCTCTACCACCCTCGTTCCCAGGTTCAGAATACGCCTGGGAGCCTGAGCTGACCTTTACCTTATCGCTGAGTTGGTTCTTAAACCAATGTCTCTTCCTCTTGTTTTCCCGTTATTTGTAGACCGACCCCAACAACCTACACACACAACTCGTATTTGCCCAGGGCCCCCAGATCAGTTTCTTCTGGTGAATCCGAGCATAATCCGCTGTCCACTAGACTATTTTTGTTTCTTTAAATGAGGTGAATAGCCCTTATTACGGATTAGAACAGTTCTTGTCTCAGCCACTCACGTTTTACCTACATACAATCCCTGAAAGAAAGGCCATATCTCCCATGTGCTGTCTGGCTCATCAGCACCTCCGTTAACTGAAGATGTAACAGGTGCTAAGGTGCCCAGTAAAATTCCCCTTTCCCACCTACACGTTTGTTAGCTTGGAGGAAGAAAATGCAATCTATCCATATGGACTATTTAGCAGTTTTAAGTAGGTTTCTATAGGTGGACTCGGTGCATGTGTGTGTTTGAGGGGGTTCAGAGTGCTGAAATGTATTAGATTGGAAAAATTGAGTGTTTTAAGGATTTATCTTTTAATACACGCAAAATATGGGCCAAGTGTTTTATCAAAATTGGTTGATTTACAATAAACAGCTTAAAATACAACGGGGAATATCCATTCATTTAATAAATTTATTAGGCTCCTTCTATGTACTGTGGGAGGGTCAGGGCTAGAGTTTTTAAATTCCAAAATCAGTAAGACATAATAAACAAGTAAATAAGGTAATTCCAGGTAATAAGAGTAATGATGATTGTAACAGTAGAGAATCCTGTAAAAGAGTGATTAGAAGGCCTCTCAGAGGAGGTGACATTTGAGCAACACCTAAGGAACAGAAGGAACTACCTGTGTAAAAGTCTGGAGAGAGAATGCTCCTTACAGAAGGAACAGCGAGTGCAAAGGCTCTGTAGTGGAAATGATCACGGTGTGATCTGGGAAGAGAAAGCAGGCAGTTGTGGCTGCAGGGAACCTTGTGATGGGGGAGAGGATGGAAGGTTGTGAAGTTTGAGAAGTAGGCAGGGGCCAAATCATGTAGGATCTTCTAGGCTGTGGTCAAGAGCTAGGATTTAATTTAAACTATAATGGGAAGACATTAGATGATTTAAAGCAGGCAGGGATTGATTTTTTGTTTTAACTCTACCTGCTTTGTGGAGGTTAAGGGGTCAAGAAGAGAAGTAAGGAGACCATTCTGAAGGACGTTGTAGGCAGAGCTGTAGATAGTTTGCATTAGAGTGATAGTGGAGACAGAACTAAATATGTTTAATGAATAGATCTGGTAGAACTTGCTGATCGATTGGGTGTGAGAGATAAGGGAAAGGGAAGTCAAGGGTGATAACTAAGAAGTTAGCCTAAGCAACTGAATCCGTGTTGGAGAGAACAGGTTGAGGGGAGAAGAGTAGGTTGGTTGTTTTTGATCATTAAGTGTAAGGTGTTATATACCTAAGTGAGATGTCAAATAAGTAGTTGGTTATGAGTCTAGAACTCAGGCCAGGACTAGAAATATTTGGAGTCATGCAGATAGTGTTTAAAGCCGTAGACTGGGAAGTTTCTGAGGAAGAATGTGTAGATAGGGAAGCGAAGAGAGTCCAGGTCTGAGGTAGGAAGAAAATTGGGATACATGTCACTAATGAAACAAATGTATGACAAAAGAGGAGGGTTGTCAACTTGATGGGATACTGCATAATGGATGAAAAAGGTGGAGGCAGATTAGTGGCCCTTAGGTTTGTCAAGGTAGAAGTCATTGGTGAACTAAGTGAAAAGTTTCACTGGAGTAGGGTGGTATGGATAGAAGCCTTGTTTAAGTGGATTGGAGAGAGGGAGTAGGCAGGAGTGTAGTAATAGTGGTTGAGAGGGAGAACCCTGGAGCCAGAATGGCTGCCTTTGAATTCTGCCTCTGCCACTTACCAACTAACTGTATGATACTAGGTAAGTTACTTAGCTCAGTGCCTCCTTCCTCATGTCTAAAATGGGGAAAATAATGAGTATGTATTAAGAAAATCTTTGAACACTGCCTGGTTTGTAATTAGCACTCAATAAGTGTTCGGTGAACAGAAAACTTAGAAGACTGTTTTGAGTTAAAATAGCATTCCCGGGGCTTCCCTGGTGGCGCAGTGGTTGAGAGTCCGCCTGCCGATGCAGGGGACACGGGTTCGTGCCCCGGTCCGGGAAGATCCCACATGCTGCGGAGCGGCTGGGCCCGTGAGCCATGGCCGCTGAGCCTGCGCGTCTGGAGCCTGTGCTCCACAGTGGGAGAGGCCACAATAGTGAGAGGCCCACGTACGGCAAAAAAAAAAAAAAAAAAAAAAAATAGCATTCCCTTTTTTAAGCATTCAATTCTCAAATTACTTATCAGCTTTATTACCATTTCCTTTTTTTTTTCCACTAATTGAAGATTATAGCTACTTTGCTTGTAATTTTTCTTGAGTTTTAATAAAGCATCTTCGGGTATCATATAGCCTACTCAGATGACTGTAGCAGTGCAGTCATTCTGCTGGAATAAAGCACTACTTGTAGAACCTAGACAGTGATAGGAGCTGGGATTGGTCCTTTTATAATGTACACTACTGTGGTAAAAATGAGCCCTTATCCAAGTTCCTGTCCCTTTAATTGCATTTCAGGTGAATTCTTTTTTTTTTTTTTAACAAGCCTGCATCTGACGTTAATTTATTTATTTTTGCTGTGTTGGGTCTTCGTTTCTGTGCAAGGGCTTTCTCTAGTTGCAGCAAGCGGGGGCCACTCTTCATCGCAGTGCTTGGGCCTCTCACTATCGCGGCCTCTTTTGTTGCGGAGCACAGGCTCCGAACGCGCAGGCTCAGTAGTTGTGGCTCACGGGCCCAGTTGCTCCACGGCATGAGGGATCCTCCCAGACCAGGGCTCGAACCTGTGTCCCCTGCATTAGCGGGCAGACTCTCAATCACTGCGCCACCAGGGAAGCCCCTCAGGTGCATTGTTTTAGATGACTTTTAACGCTGATTACAGTTATTTAAGACCTATGGTTTCTAACCTTGGTTTTGTGAAACTTGAAGATGTATTTGTTATCTAAAGAGATTTTTTTGCTTTACTTCGTAATTGCCATATAGCACCTATTTGAGGCAGGACCATATGAAGCACAAAGGATAAGACAGAACTTGAAACGTGTATAGAACTTTTTTAGCTATTTGTGCTAGTAAAGTATCTGATGGTTTTGGACTTGCCTCATAGTTTAAATGTATTAATTCAGCACATATTTATTGAGCACTTAATCTACTCTGTGCTAAGCACTGTGTTAGATATTGGGGAAATAGTAAGAAACACGACATGAAATGACCATCTTCATATTGTTTACTGCTTAGCACGGAAGACCGATGGTGAACAAGTAACCGTAAGACTAGTGAGTGTTATAAATCCAGAATGCTGTCAAAATGTATGTCTGGGAGGTCAAGAAAGGCTTTCCTGGCATGATAATATTTCATCTCAACCGGGATGGATGAAGAGCAGTTTGCTGGGGCAAAAGGATGGGAATGGAGAGCTGTGACAGCAAGGTTTTAGAGGGCAGATGGTATGAAGGCCCTAAAATAAAGGGAAAAAGAGGTGTCTTGGAGGAATTGAAAGAAACTGAAAAAAGAGCCAGTGGATAGCTCCAGAGAGAGGAGCCAGATCTCACGAGACTCTTGAGTCATTTTAAGGATTTGGGATGTCATTGAAGGGTAGTGGGAAACCAGTGAAGGGTTTTAGGGGAGGAAAGTTTTCATATGGACATTAAGAAAAAAAAAAAAGTCAACCTGGTTGCAGTTTCAACATGAAATAAAAGTTGGTAAATCTGTATTTTATTTGATTATAAGGTCTTTAGGTATATCAAGATTCTGAGTTTTTTTCATAATTTATTGAAAATATAGGTGTTAAAATTGTCATCTTGAAATACTTGATGTTTTTGTTCTCCCAAACATTTGCTTAGTCATGCATGCTAATAATAAAATTAGATGTTGGTCTTCCCTTTAACATTGATTTCTTTTTCATAATGTGCAGTCCTGGAAAAGAATTAAGCTATCTTCTTTCGATGTTTTTTTTGTTTTTTTAAACAGAAGAGGTTTTCTGCTGTATTTTAAAACTTCTTCTGAGTTTACACATCACTGAATGTGGTGATTTAATAAAATCATGGATTATTTTTAGTTTAGGGGAAACCTCAAAATCTAATCAAACCCCTTAATTTTTCAGAAAATAAAATTGAGAGACAGATGAACTTAATGATGTGCCCAGATTTTGTTGAGTTTAGTAGTAAAGAACAAAACGCCTAGTTTTGTGCTCCTGCTACTATGTAGTGCTGTGGAGGTAGCATTGTGTAGTGGAAAGAAAACATTTTTGTGTCCACATAGACCAGTGTTCACATCTCAGCTCTGCCACTTATTAACTGAGTAATCTAGGCAAATGAACTTCCCTTTTCCTTGTTGGTGTGATAGGGAGAATTATACTTGTTTCTTTCTGTAGTTGAAAGGATTAAATGAGACATATTTTAAAGAGCCTAGCCCTTCCCTCCTTTCTTAAATACGGGGTTGATTAAACACAAATAGGTTACATTACTATTATTGCTACCATTAACATTTGAACACATTGTTAAAGTTTTGTATTTCAAGTTCTGTGAGGTAAATACTGTACCTCCATTTTGCAAGTGATGACCCCGAGGCACTAGAGCATGAAGTTGAGATACTTGCCCAGAGTCACAGCTTTTACATATGACTAAACAGTGATTTAAACTCAAGTTTTTGACTCTGGAGCCTTGTTCTTAATTTACTACAACACAATACAATGTATTCTTTCCTATTACTCTGTGTGTGTGCATATACAC